GCTTATCTGTGTTCCTGGCTTTTTCCCAACCGTGTTGAGTTATTGCTGTGCCTTCACATCTGGAATTCTTACTCCTGCCCTGCCAAACTAATTACCTCATCTTGCCTTGATTGGACTTATAGTTACAGTTTTTGTTGACCACATTTTGGACTTGATTTTCTACAGCCAAAGGCTGTTCCTGGGAGAATTTTTCTCCAGCCAGAGGGTAACCAGGACCTTGGGGGCAAAGTTGGAGCTAATAAAGGGACTCCTATTGATTATCTGACTGTGTTGCCTTTGTGCCATGCCCCGGGTCATCACACTTCCTTTGAAGTAAACCACATTGGTGTTTCTGGTTAATATTGGGCCGTGTGGTGGATTAAACCTAAAGGAAGGACTTTCAGACTGGCTGCCAAAATGTACAGCTAGGGGAACAGGCTGCCACATGAAATGGTGTTTTCTCCCTCAAGGAGTGATCATCTATTGGAGGTGCTAAGCAGGGGGTTGGGCCAAATGATTTCAAGGATTTCTTTCACCCTTGGGAATCTGTAGTCCTGATGTTGGCTTCTCTCCCTCTCTTTCAGCTGAGCCTGCAGACCTATTGAAGGTATTAGATTTTCATAATTTACCCGACGGCATCTCAAAAACGACAGGCTTCTGCACCAGCAGGCGGTCTTCCAAAGGAGCGGATGTGGCCTATCGCGTGACCAAGGATGCCCAGCTGAGTGCCCCAACCAAGCAGCTTTTCCCTGGTAAGTGGATATTTGTGGCTCAGGGTGCAACTGTGAGGGTCCTTGGTGCTCTCTGGGCTGGGTTGTTATAGATAGATAGTTAGATGAGAGGGAGAGAGAGAGAGAGAGAGACAGACAGACAGCAATAGCATTTAGACTTATATATCACTTCACAGTGCTTTCCAGCCCCCTCTAAGCGGTTTACAGAGTCAGCCTGTTGCCCCCAACAATCTGGGTCCTCATTTTACCCACCTTGGAAGGACGGAAGGCTGAGTCAACCTGGAGCCAGTCAGGATCGAGCTCCTGGCTGTGGGCAGGCTTAGTCCGCAATGCTGCATTCTAACCACTGCGCACCATGGAAGGAAGGAAGGGAGGGAGGGAGGAGAAAAGGAAGAGCAATAGCAATAGCAATAGATGGATGGATGGATGGATGGATGGATGGATGGATGGATGGATGGAT